ACGCCTTTCCCAATTTGATCGCTACCCCGGGAATCATTGACGTCCTTAACTTCTTTCAATGATCCAGTCGGTTTACTAAAGGTACTTGGGAAGACCACAGGCGTCCTATTGGCACTGCTTTCGGCCGATGGCATCGTAAGCTCTTCTTTCTCCGTCGCACGCAATTCCGCACCAACATCATTTTCGTGATCAGGTAGATTTTTGCAGTCTGCCTTCTCTTCCTCCGTTCCTTCGTTGGAGGTCAATTCCTCCAATCCATCAGCTGCGTTGCTCGGAACTGATGAAATCATCGTAATGATTACTTCAAAGTACTCGTACCGGTGGAAGAGATTGTATGAAGCAAGCTAATAAGGGGAAGCAGGGCACAGGAGGAGCTCTTTTCTTTTGCTGTTGTGTCACGGTTGTCACAGCCTTCGTCTTTGCATGAGCGCTCCTGCTGTGCTCTTTCTGTTCTCTGAGCGCTTCTCCTTTTGTCAAACGGGGTGGATGTTGGCTTTTACCAAAAGACCACAAAAGCACACCACGAAGTGTGATTGACCGTCTGCATTCAGTTTCAGTGCTTTCTGGTCATGACGACCATCAATAAATGAGTTTTAAAGCGAAGCATCATTTCAATTGTCCTGCTATCTGAAACGTGTTCTACCGGTACTCAGAGTCATTTCCAGGTTAGCACTCATTGAAGCATTAGAGCATCAGAAGCAGACTAAATAACCTTGGCTCGATTCTCGAGTGCATTGGATTAAAAAGAACTACTCCAGTACGACTGTTACTGAGTACCACTAGCTACTGTAGCAGGTCCACCGTTCCACACACCGGACACCGGTATGATGTAACAAGTACAGTACCACGAAAACTACCAGCGCCTGCACGGATACTAGTAATTCAACGTTTTGAAGGGCGAGTACTTCAGCTTTTTAGAAAAGGCTAAGTTCTCTTGCCACTGAGATATTATAGACATGACATAAAAAATCGATGAGATCAAGGAAATACTAACTCGCTAGCTAGCTAGCTTATGCTAGCTAGCTAGCTGCTAAATGATCTCCAAACCTTGTGCCTACCAGGTACCTGGAAATCTGCCTAATTTTCTGCCTGAACCATCTCTACTTGATCCAAACCAACTAAGAGTGAGCGAGTTGGAACCAAGCCCAGTCACTGAGTACCCCAATACCAACCTTAAAAGCTTAGGCGAAAGTACTAGCTAGTAGTTTCATAGGATATCTGCTTGCTTGGTATGAAAGAAGGTTGAAACTTCAGAGTTCAGCAAGAAAGCTTGAGTACATGTACAACTGTACCCTCTCCGGGTTGGAACTTTCTAATATTAAATTTTAGTTTTGAGATATGCATTGGGGTCCGCGACGGTCACGGAAAGGGTTTGCGGTAACAGTATGTCTCATAAGGCTTATGAGCCCTGCTTGTGACTGATGCCCGTGGCAACCCTAGCTAGCTAGCTACTATCTTGCAGTGGCGGCCAGTCAAAGCCAGTTTCATGTGCGAGTCGAGTCCTCTACATTGCTCTATTGCAATACTCAGAGCGCAGTCATGGCGAGAGCGGGCACTGAACAAATGGGAAGAAGAAAATAACGAGTTTTTATTTTTAAAGGCCACTACCTCGTCAGACGATCCGGACGGTGCCGTGACGAACCATATACCTCAGGCGCACAAGGGCGTCCCACTAGGATGGGCCTAGTGTAAGCCCCCCACCGGAGAAATAGGCGAAATGGGAGAGAAGACTGTCATGGCCATGGCATTGCACCAGCAGAGCGTGAACTTCATATCAGACTGCTTTTTTTCAGTACTAGCCAGCGAAGGTCTACCACCACAACTTCACCAAGCAAGAGGCCTGGGCGCTGGTGGCAGCCCAATTTCGTGCATTTCGTAGCTGAAGAAACAGCGAAGCGTTACAGTTGACAGCGGACCGTCCACGGTTTTGGCTCAGTGTTTAAAATACTGCTCAAAACCGTCGGACGGTCCAGGCCCCGCCTAATGCGGCTTTTCAAAAGCTACGTTAGAGGATTCATTGGGATGACACATGCGCTAGAATATGCGGCCCGGATATCCACGTGTCCACCGGCGTGCAACGAAACCATTTGGACGCGTTGATGGTGAAGATTTCGCGTCTTGCAATCATCCGAAGCGAGCCCAGGACGAAAACGTACCGGTACATGCCAGTCCATGCGTTCCTAACCGCAGTATGACTGCAGGCACGAGACCATGCAGCAACAAACAACCCCGAGCGCACAGAGTTCACAGCCTCCAGCCTCAACATGAGCCATTCGAGCGGGGATCAAAATTATGCATGTAGCATGCGCGACGAAGTTCCGTTTCAGCTAATTGAGCGCAAAGACCTCCAGCATGCTATTCTGAAAGCCATTGACCAATCGACACCTTGAATTTTGACTTTTCAAGCTTCACGCCGTTCCTTTCAGGTTCTGGGGGATGAGCAAACTTGCCCATGGCTCTGTGTTGAATTTGTTAGAGCGTTTTTGTAAACATTGTGTGCGCTAAGCCAATCTTTTACTTTGGCTGTTTTTCTCTATTGGATTAGATTGGATTGCATTGGATTAGATTGGATTGCATTGAATTACAGTTTACTATATAAATAACAGTACTATTTGGAATCCAATTCAATCCAATTCAATGCAATCCAATCCAATGCAATCCAATTAAATTTATCTTCCGGAAAAAATACGAATTTTGTCTTTTTAACTGATTTTGGCGAGTCACACTCCAATACAACACAGGGCTATTGCAAATTTTGCCCATCCCCCTGCGAATCGGCATGCCTGCCACAATCTTGTCGACGTTCAAATTTCGCGAAAACAGCAGGAAACCGTTTTAGGAAACGATTCAGCAGAGCGGTTGCTTCAGCCATCGGCACGTGGTCTAACCTCCAAGATTGCTGATATTGGATGAGTTTTTAATTAATAAAATAGATGTCTATACATGGCAGATAATGGTTTTCGAATCGCCAATGACAAGTTTGTCGAGAGAGCCATCCTAGCATTGCTGCAAGTGACACCAATGCAAACTAGGTTGCAGTGTTTCAGATAATGTCAAGGAGAGCAGGGGCAGTCACACCCACAGAGCAATGGAGAGCAGCTAAAGGACAACCTGTGGACTCCACAGAGCCCCTGAGGAATGGTGCCTGTGAGGGATGTGCGTTCCAAAAGCAAGGTATGCATGGACTTATTCAACTGCTCCAGTTCCAGAGCTACTGATCCATTAATCATTGGGTTGTTAGAGAGCCTCAGTTCTCTCAGACCAGTCAGCAGTCCAAGTTCAGAGGGAAGTGATCCTGCCAACTTTGTGTCCATGAGAAAGAGACGGTGCATTAGCTGCGCCTGACCAAGTTCGGAAGGAATTTGACCTACTATTGATTGCCATCAAAGTCTGCTACTTTCTGGATTTACAGGAGGGGTAGCCATGAGGAGTTGATTTGGAATGTAGGATCAGGGAACTCAGTTGTTGCTTAACTTACCAGGTTTGCGCACAACCCAAGCAATGATGGAATGACCCCGCTGATCTGATTTCTATCCAACATCAATTGTTGGAGATTCGGCATGCGATAGCCAATATCTGAGGCAATTGATCCACTGAAGGAGTTGTGGCCCAACATAATTGTTTCAACTTGAGACAGTTGCCAAAACTGTTCTGGCAAAGATCCAGTCAGTTGGTTATCTAGCAATGACAATTCTTCCAAAGTGTGTGAGAGCAATCCAACTTCAGATGGGATCGTCCCAGTTAGGTCCAGACTGAAGAGCCTCAGATTGGTTAGCTGTGTCATTTGACCTATTTGAGTGAAGATGGTTGAAGCAATTTGGCTTCTTGCAAGCTTCAAACTCAGTAGTGATGTCATGAGCATGAGTTCTTCAGGAAGAGTCCCAACCATGTTGTTTTTCAGCATGTACAAGCTGCGAAAGCTTCCATCTTTGTTGCAAACTTCCCTTGTATCAAGAGAGCCCAAGGAGAACCATTCACATTCAGGAACACCATATGACAGCCATTTGGCTGATGTTATGTTGACATGTTTGATTGTGGGCCTCGTTGGGCCTGGAGGTGGCCCACTGCCCTGGGATGTTCCTGGTGTGTGCAGTTGTGGTGTTGCTGTGGACGCATTTGGTTGTAGCTGCCGGTGGTGCCCAGATGGTGCTTCATCTATGGTGATTGTGGTTGTACCTCCTCCTTGCTCCAACCATTCTGGCCCTCCAAGAGAGTAGTATAAAGTTGCAATAGCAAACCTTTGAACAAGACGTGCTTCTGTGTATTCTGATACCAGCGGGTCAGCTCTCAGCCATTCATATGCTTTTGATTGAGGGCTGGCACCAGAGTCATCAAGGAGCATAAGAGTCATGGTGCTATTGGGTAGGGAAAGAGGCAAGTTGAATCTTGATTTGATTGGTGTTTCCATTTCATCATGGCTGATGTTGGTTATCGGATCGTCCAGTGCATTAATGGTACTGTCTTTTGGATTGGGTTGCTTTCTTGCCACGAGGATGACAATAAGCACAGCAGTCAGAGGAGCAAGTAGCAACAAACAAGTCAAAAAACGCCATGCCCATGTTGCCTTCTTGCTGTTTGTGCTTCTCTCCATTGGATCCACTGGTTCTGCCTCATTGATGGTGGGCACATCCACAGGCCGGGCCACCACCAACTCATCCATTCCTTGTAGATCTGCCAATGGATCTTCGTTGTTGTTTTGATGACACATGTTACTTGATGTGTCAGTTGTAAATGACTCACTGTTGGTTCTATGTGACAGTGGTCCAGCTTGAGGAAAGGCTCCTGGTTCTGAGGGCACTCGCATCGCTAAGTTTGGAGGAGGCAGTGCTTCCATCAAAGTCATGTTTCCTTTGATAATTTGAATATCTTGTTCAACTACGTGTTTCAAGTCTATTTGTCCTTCTTCCATCATCATCGTGGTAAGATCATCATGATCGCGTTGGACTATTCCAGCGACCGTTTGTGGGCAGCAATCAGGTTCTGCAGCGTCCATTTGTGGAGTTGATATACTTGATGCTTTTTCGTCGAATCCACCCGAGTTCAGTAGCATTGGATACCCTCAAATGACTGGTTTTCCCCGGCGAAATACCCTCACAAGTCTTATGGTATTACCATACCCCAATAGAGGATACCCATACTTAGGGGCGAACTCACTACTATGACTACAGGGTAAGTCCCACCAGTCGATACAACTCCCCTTTCCACATACTCTCTACTGCGCTAGTATACCGTTGTATTATGGGTATACGGTAGCGGTAGCTAGCACCGCCTCTACCGGTACCCGTGCATGTCGTGAGTGTGTCTTTCTAAAGGGGTTGTCTCCGAGATCTGAGGAATACAGAAGGATGGATGGTGGAGAGCCAAGGGCAGCTAGAATACGCAATGGTGCCGTGGAAAACCTCACCAATGGCAAGCATTCAGCGAACGATTACCGACACCTAGGGAGCGGCAAAAAGATACCGAGGACGATGTCTGGCTGCGGAGACGTGCCCTCGCATTGTTGTTTTGGATCATGAAGCCCGTGCCAAGATTTTTCACCATGTAAAGCCCCTGAAACCGGTGCATGTAATAAAATCCCTCTAACATAACTGAATCACTTGGTGGATTCAATGACTAACTTCCACTGTCCTGAAAATCTCTAAAACATCAATCCAGCTCTGCTCAGTGACGAAGATTATGCCTGTTGCGGTGGAGGACACTGCATGGGTCATAAATTCCACAGTCCACTTCTGTCCCACAGGTCGCACTATCATCGAAACAACCTGTACAATTGTAACACAGCACCAGGGGGGTTAGCACAAACCACATACAGTCAATAGGGCAAGTCTTGACTCTCTTTTGACTTACATGCGCCAGGGTGGCACGCATTATCACACCGCGTCTTAACAAAGAAGGCTACTTGAGTGTTGCAAGCATCGGCAATTTCCCTAGCTTCTGCACTCAATGCCGCGTTTCCGTTGGATACGCTGGCTGTTCCCTCGAGTTGTTCAATGGCAGCAACCAGGTGATTGCCACATGGTTCCATGTACGCAGAGCAGTTGGGATCGCTGGGACACGATGTATCATGCGTATCTTTCCAACAGCATGCAGCTGCCAGGCACTCCTTTTCGCATTCCACAATGGCGGCCCCGTTGTTCACACTTGTCGTCAACACGTCAGGAGCGCATGTCGCCGCCAAATTGCCGGGCGCTTGTGGAACGCCACCATTGCCGGGGGTGCCGTCGCCGCCAGGCTCAAACAAGCCCACAAAGATGGAACACGGTTCTTCGTATGCCGAGCACCGGGCGTTGGATGTGCAAGACTGTGAGTTGGGTTGCCAACAACACGAAGCCGCCAAACATTCTCGCTCGCACTGGATCAACACTTGACCACCATCGGACGATCCAATAATGTTTTCTTTGGAGCACCGCGTCGAAAAGTCACCGGAAGCTTGTGGGACGTTGTTGTTGTTACCGGGTGTCTGGTTGTCGGGATTTGGTGCGTTATCCGTTTGAAGATCATTGAGAATGGCACATGCCTTGACATAGGGTTGGCATGTTTCGGGTTGTACCGAACTGGGACAAGCTTCACTGCTTGTGCTCCAGCAACCTGTGGAAATAGCAGCAAAGAGAATGGGTAAGACATAAAGATAATCGAGCGACATGGTTATCTTTCTGGCAGCAAAGACAGACGTACATTCCGCCTTGGAGCACTTGTCTTCACAAATGTGCAAACTGATTTCTTCCATTTCACTTGGGTCACAATAAACATCAAGCCCATTGGGTGCCTCTGGAACAACGCTAGAAGACGACGAGGAAGAGCCAGGAGTTGGTGCAGGTTGTGGCGTGGCTGCCGGTCGCGGCGTCGATGTCGGTCGTGGCGTGGTTTGTGGTCTGTTGTTGTTGTTGTTAACAACGGAATTTTGTCCAATAGTGTTGAGTACGGCACACGCCTTGGCGTAGGGTTCACACATGTTATCGGGCACGGTCGATTCACAATTGACCGTTCCGACCTTCCAACAACACTCGGCCAAATTGCATTGTTTTTCGCAATTCTCCATTCCCAATTCTTCCATGGTACCCACGTCGCACAGAGATTCCAAATCGGACGGTGCCACGGCAAAGGGAAGACCTTGTTTATCTTGCTGTTTGTGGGGATGATCATTGAAAAAGGAGCAATGTTCTTCGTACGGAGCACAATTGGCTTGAAAACTGGCGGCCGTGCACGTAAGATCACTGGTCGAATTCCAACAACACGACGCTCGTTCGCAGATATCAAAACACGTTTGGGTGGCGGTAAAGTCAGCCCCAATGGGAACGCAGGTCGTCTTGAGTGTCGCCGGTGCGGCCGGAACGTCCATTTCATTGGGAATGACACTGTCATCGTTGGGATCTCCGTCCTCATCAGTGGCGTCACTGGTAGTGTGAGGAATCATGAAATCTTGACATTCCTTGTAGGCGACACAATTGTCTCTGGATTCTGTAGTACAGGCGTACTGTCCGTGAGGATTCCAACAGCATTCGGCCTTGCGACATACATTTTTACAATCGTCCGTAAGTTTGAGCGGCAAGGTAACCGACTGGCCGGGTCCTAGATCCTCTCCTTCGTGACAATAGAGTCCCACGAGACGAGCTTGTGTTTTGGGAACTTGTTGTGGAATTTTGCCAATATCGTCGTCATTTTTGGAGGATGATGTTTGAGTATAAACGACAATTCCGACAACAGCTCCAATGATAGCGAGAATGAAAATGTAAGTGATGCATTGGCGACAACGTGTCCGGGTGGATTTGGTATTGCGTGCTTCGAGCTCGCTCAAATTGATAAAGTTGCGAGATTTGGTGTCGCGCATGGAAATATCGTCCAATTCCGCGTCGAATTCGTCTTGGAAACTTTCAATCGGTCCGCCGAGAGGATCGTTGGGATCGGCCATGTCGCTACTCAAAAGCGCATGGGTTTCGGGTTCGGGCTGTTTGGGAGGCAACACGTATTTGTTGCCCACATTTTCCAATGTACTGGCTCCCAAATGATCCGAGTCATCCTCGTCGGTGGTATAGTAACTGGGAGAGACACTGGCGCGGGTGTTGGTATTGCGTTTGTTGTTGTTATTGCCGGAACCGTCCATGGTGCTGCTGCTATTGTTGTTATTATAATGGTTGTTGTTGTTGTTGTGAAAGTCGCCCACCAATTCGGCAGGGTCCGTCATGAGACTGGACGTGGATTTGCTGTAATGACTACTGCTGCTGCGGCGGGAGCCGCCGTGGGAAGAGCTATTGCGTTTGCTCTTTTTCTTCTTGTCGCGTTTGCTCTTGTGGCGGCGCATCACAAACTTGTCGCCGGGAAAGGCTTCCGCAGTAGTAGACGCTCGAACGGAACCAAAATTGATATCATTATTGCTGTTGTCGGCTTGGTAGTCTATGCTACCCGTGCTGCTATTGAAGCGTTGGCTGCTGGGACGGCGTTGGCTGCTGCTGCTGCTGTACTTGTTGACCAAGGAGTCGATTCTGTAGTCAACAGTAATAAAAGCACGAGATGGAAAGAAAGAACAATCGAATCCAAAGAGAACGAGACAAGAGAAAGAGACAAGGAAACAACATAAGACATGAGATCCAAAGGTAATAAGATACGATAAATTTGGCGAACTGACATCTCATGGACAAAATAAATCGACACCGCCGCCACCACCGTCAAGAAGATACTCACTCGTCGTTACTGGCCATGATGAAAGAATTCGGTAGGTTCGTCTAGAGTTTGTCTACCGCTATGGGGAATAATAAATGAGGCGAGTCCGCACACAGAGAGACTGTCTATCGTTGTGGTTGTTGTCGTTCAAGGTTGCCCTTCTAGCTAGAATGATCTCTGGATCGATCAGATCTGGGTTCCTTTCGTTCACACGATCCTCCCGTTCTCTTGCTGGATGAGGCTGGGAAGAGTTTAGTTGTGGTTGGTTGTGGATGCTGGTTTTCCAGAAGAAGGCAAGGAAAGAAGACAACAAGCCAACCAACAAGACACGGGCATCAGTCCCACCCAAGAAGTGAGGTCCTTGTAAAAGTGTGACTGATCGTGGTGCCTCGTTTACGAGGACATTTACTTGGGAGAAGAATGACTTTGCTAGGTTGGTGAACGCCTTAGAGTGACTTGCTTAATTCAGCGACAATGACCAAATTTTGTACTGTAAAAACCACACTACAGGGCACTCGGAAGCGTGTTGGGACCAAGATTGGCAAGGGCCGCTTGCAGGAGTCCAGCAAGAATTATCAAGTAAGTTACGTTGCCACCAAAACGAGTTGGCTCTGAATGGGATGGAGCTTTGAGGAGAACAAGCAACAAAATAGATGGCACCTTCATGTGCCTACACACATGCACAGCGGACCAACTTTGAAATAAATGATAGCATCCTCTTCTGTTGGTCTGAATGGCGATGATCTCTTGAGTGTCACCAGTTTTGGCAACTACCGGTACAGTCCTCAAAGGTTTCTAAAAGGGGACTACTAGTCTACTAGCTAGTAGTACAGCGTACTCTTATCTTGCCCTCCCGCACCGCTTGGGTGGCATGGGGCCATGGCACGATGACACTTAGTACGTACCTGGTACCGGTACCTGGTACAGTACCGGGTACCGGTACCAGTATTGGTACCACTACTAAGCTGACATAGCCAACTCGCCGCTGGCTTACTAATTTTTGGCGACCACCATATACCTGGACACGGGTACCATAGGTTATCCATGCTGTGACGTCACCATCTGGGTGCGTCATTATTAGTCACGATCACGATTAAAAATTACTTAGACCGTTTTAAAATGCCTGCCCGCTACCTCAACTGTTCGCTGGGGGGCATCAAAAACCTTCCCCAAATTCCCAGAGCACTCCCTTTTTGTGATTTCCGCTGCTCCTTAAGTCTCCAAAGTCGCCCAACCTCGAACACCTGTGTCTCTGACATTGAAAACAAGACCCAAAAACCAAACAAAAATGAGGGTCCCCCAAACCACGCATTGGTACCTCCTACTCAGATCTACATTCCCGCGACCCATTGCAACAGGGCATACCGAAAAATCCGTCTTGTGCCCCCACTCACACCATCCACTGAGGCAAAGAACAAATGCTGAGCAGTGGTCTGTGCTAGAACCCTTGCCAGAACGGTAGAATCAGTCACGAAAAATCGCAAAAGGGTGGCAGACAATATTGTGGGAAAAGTGGATGGACCAATGCCAAAATATCCCGGTGATAGCCAAATTTGTTTTTTGGCGACAGAAAACACCGCGGCGCCCCAAACAGACATATTGAGTCCCATTATCTCGAAAACGGCCATCTAATTAATCGATTCACATGGAAAAACAGTGAAGATTATAGTAGAATGGTGACTCCAATACAGGCGCGAAACTAACAGTATTTACAACGTTAACAAACCGACAAAACCGGCCAAACCTGGCCCACCGTTTGCTGGTAGATGTCTGTTGGTTCCCTAAATGACGATCGTACAAAATGGTAGGTGACAGTGTCACATAGGAACAAGCTGAATATCCGACAAAAAGAATAGTACTGGGCACGGTTAACTACAGACGTAACACCTAGCAGCCATGCAAATGGGAGAGATAGCAGTAGCAGACGAACTAGCCACTGCAATACACGGCTCTTAGCCTTATTCGCGACTCGATCCTAGATAGGGTTTGAGTTCGACTCATGACTGAGTCTCTCGTGAATAGTCATTTGAGACAGGGTTCTCAATGACCGCTCTAGTCATACTAGGTTGATGATGAAACATCGCTCTAGATATTTAGCCAGCGTGGAGTACTTCCACGCTACTAGATCCAGGCTAGACAAACCTTCCACGCGTTCCGTTTTAGGATCGTGGAGAGACGTAGGATTACTACTACAACCTACTCTATCACACTTCATAGTCTCCCGCGGGAAGCCAGATCTACGATCCCTTGATGATGATCTCTCTCGTTGATTAGTTTTCATAGCTTTCTAATCTCTCTCATAACTTTCATTCTCTCAAACTCAAAACACTCGAAAGATCTTTACACTAGCTTTTAGCGTAGTGCATTTTGTTAACAAACACAATAGCTTTCAGCTACCCTCAACCTATTCCTTCACCATGAAGATGGCTCAAGGAAAGCATGCGTTCCGCAACTTCGAGAAACAGTTGCGTGACAAACCCATTCTTCCTCTCGTCGACAATGACGAAGACACCGAGATCGACGATACTCGTGCAACCACCTGCAAACTTCGCAACCATGTTGCCAAGCGCAAATCAGAAAACTCTGATAACGAGGACAACTCCTCTATCGATTTCAATCACTTGGATGGAGAAATCTCTATCTGAGGATTAGGCCAGGATGATGACTCAACGGAACCATGTTCCGATTTCTCATACCAAAGTGATGAAGATATCTCACTACTAGTAAACAAGAATTGTTTGCAACCGATGAACTCTACGGCAAATTAGATGATTGCCTAGAAGCTGCTCAACTAGACTCTGATGATCTATTTCTATTTAGCATCTGTTAAACCTCGTCCGTGGCCAACCACCTTCGTTAAACGATCGCAGACAAGAGACCTCAAACCCACTCGTCTATGTAGATTTAACAAGCGAAAGAAAGGAGAAACCAAAAACCGTTACACTCCGTTGCTTATGATACAGGAGCATCCGGAACCTTGATTGCTCAACCTCATGTCTAAGAATACGTTTTCGCATGAAGGATCTTGGGCGCGTCCAAACATGTGGACTACCCCATGCAGAGAATTAAACACCAGCACGAAGTGCAAAGTGCATTCATATTCCTGAATTACACGATGATAGATTTTCGAATGGGATTTACCAGTCACCAAGAGCTTGGGGGCGTATGACTGATCATAGGTCGAGACATTCTCTCTGATCTAGATTCTAAGTTCTGATTTCACTACCATGTCAGTGATGGGAAGCGCGCTATTTCCTATGAAAGACAGCGACACCATGAAAGAGAATTCTTCATTCATGTCCTTACTGCTGTTGATGACAGTGAGATCGTCTTAAGAAGATTCTTGATGAGAAATACAGAACAAGCCTGAATTAAGGAAGGTTTGAAAAGTCAAGATCAGTTAAAAAGGAAGAGAAGGAACGTTTCATTCCTTACTGACGAAGTACTTCTGACCTATTCGATGGTATTTAGGAAAGTGCAGATGTGACTGACTGAAGTAGAAATTATCCCTGATGCTAAACCTATCATCCAGGGCTTATCCTTATTCACGGTGTCCATACCAACACTCTTTAAGATGGAGTTTAACATCTCTGCGAAGCAGGAGTATCAAGAGGTAAACGTTCCGAGTGGGCGGCACCAAGCTTTTATCATTCCAAGAGACAGATGGATCTGTACGATTCATCCTATGATTTCCCGGAAAACCGAAAATAAAAGGATTAAGCGGAAGACTTATACTATCACCAAAAATTACGGACATGCTCTTGAATCATATGGATTCAAGTACGCCATGTCTGACTGACATGGGTACTATTACATCGAGTGTCCTCATCGACACTTGGCCATCGTACTCAGCTGTGCGTTTGGGGAAGTACGAGTACCAGATTTTGCCAATGGGCCTATGTATAGTCCCGACATCGTTCAAGAGAAGATGGGACACTAATGCACGACCTAAAATAAGTCCGTGCATACATTGATGATCTACTCATACTAACTAACGGTGATCTAGCAGGTCATGTTGAAAAGTTGGATTAAGTTCTGCCGAAGGCTTCGAGAAGCGGGACTCAAGATCAATGCTACAAAGTACTTCTTCGCAAGAGGAGGACTTGAATACCTAGGTTACTGGATTACTCGAGAGGGATCCAACCTATAACAAAAAAAATAGACGCGATCAAGAATATCGCTCCTCCTACCAACAGAAAAAAACTCCTAGGATTCATTGGACTAGTGAGCTACTATCAGGACATGTGGATTAGACGATCTAATGTACTGGCCCCACTCGCTTCGGTTACTTCCAAAACAACGAGTGGATGGGAGCGCGGAACCGACAAGGCATTTAGCTAGATGAAGAAGATTATCATCAAAGAAACCTTGCTTGCTTACACTGACTTCAACGATAAATTTGTTATCCACACGGATGCATGCGAGTGATACTCAACTAGTTACAGTAATTTCCCAGAACGGAAAACCCATCGCGTTCAACAGCAGGAAACTCAACCCTGCTCAGACACGTTACACAGTTACCGAGAAGCAACTTCTCAGTATCGTATAAACTCTAAAAGAGTTCCGAACATTCTTCTAGGACAGAATATTGTTGTACATACGGACGACAAGAATCTTACGTGTAAAAACTTCAATACCGATCGCGTAATGGGATTGCGCCTTATTCTGGAACAATACGGCCCTCAACTACGGTACATCAAGGGCGAAAAGAACATCGTCGCGGATGCGTTTTCGAGACTTAACATCTCCAACAACGCCCGTTCTTCAGAACAGATGGACGCCGGCGAGATCGCTGAGCTCATGGGTGCAGACGAAGAGGACTTACATAGCGAGTTCCCTCTCCCATTCCCGGAGATTCGAACAGTAGTCAAGAAGACGACAACGACATCAAGAAACTACTCAGGGAAAAGCCAAACAACTACAAGAAACAAACTTTCCCCAGAGGGGATAAGTTCTACGACTTAGTCGTTTTACAGGACGATTAAAATCGTGCATACTATAAACTTATTTTGGCAGAAGAAGCTAAGTGAATGGTACC